TAATATGATAAGCAATCACTCAATTTTTTTAAAAAGATCTGACAGTCATTATTGGCACTCACAGAACAGATTCTATGTGATAGTAAATTATGCTAGTGCTGACAGAAATAAGGAACATAATCAGACTAAAGAACAGCTGCTGCCTAAAGCACATGTGCTCTCAGTGTACCAGTTCTTCCAGATGACCCAGAGCATGKGAGTACTTCAAAGAAGAAAGGGTTTCTCCTACTGCTTCAACCAAAACTACTCATAGCAACCTCTGATGTGGACATATTCTGACACAAAGGTACCATCCATACATTCTGTTCTTTCTGTGGGAACATCTCAGCTGTCAAGTACATCTATCCAGTACAAATGCTTCTACAACACAAATTACTATATTTCAAAGGAATTGTAAAATCCAAAATACATAAGCTTTTCATGCAGACAGAACTTATAAAGCAAATTACCAGCTAGAGAAAGGAAAGAAAATACCAATTAATGGTGCTAATGAGAAAACCCCACAGAGAGCTTTCAGTGTTAGCACTACTGATCCCAAGTATGTATTACTTATTATTATATATTACTCTAGTTGTCCACCTTCTCTGAAAGCTAGAGTTAAAAATAATACAGAAAAAGAACCTTAAAATTACTAAAATATGAAGCATAAGAACTAATTTAAAAATCAGGTGACAAAGGAAACCTGACATATGGAATCTGCAGTGAAACACACATAAATTATTTCCCGAAGCAGATTTTTAATTTTTCAAGTGTTCACAACTTCTGCCTTTGCCACAAGTTTCTGCTATCAGGAAGACCACAAGGATTTAGAAAAAACTTGTGTTCACACTGAGTGCAAGAAAAATTAATCTTTCTGAACCGGGAAAACACATATTTCACATGTCCAATCAGCTCTTTGTACAGAAATTCTAAGGGCACATGCATAACTTTATATATATTTTGGTCAGGAAATAAAACCAGGTATTACCCCCACAAAATCAGAGGTAAGAAAACAACCAGAGTCCATGTGGCATCTCTCAGTCACCTCAATTTTCCAGAAATGCTCAAAAGTGAGAGATGAGGGCTCTTTGGGAGTTAGAGCTGCATATTTAATAATAACAAAAATTTCTGAAGGAAAACAGAACATAATCTAGATGCAGTGTACAGCTTGAGAGCCAAAGAGCTCAATTTGCAATCTCAAGGCCAGTGGGCAACAATTTCTGCTGCTGAAACGAAACACAGTGCTCCTCAGGTCTATTATAGACCCTGTTTTCTCTGGACCCCAGGAAAGCTGCTTGGTTACTATAGCAACAGATACAGGGGAGAGCTTTTCATTTGTAATTGGCCACTCCTTTGAAATTATACATGCTGTTTTTCCCTAACCTTTTAATACCCATCAAATAGAGTAGAATTATGAAAGCAAATTGAGTACACAAGGGCACTTAAAATACACAAGTTGATTTGATGATAATTTTACTAGTAAYACTCTTTACCCCACCAAGTATGTTAGAAATATTTACAAAATAACAGTCAAAATTACAAAATAATAAATATGAAAATCATTCAACTGATACATCCCAAATTGTCGMTAGTACAGCAATTGTTCACCCCTTACTGTTCTAGTATATCTGTACAATGAAGGTTTATGTTCAGTTAGGGTAGAAGGAACACTTAACAGAGTACAATCAATTCAGACAAGTCTGCTGCTTTGCTAATGAAATCAACACTCTAAATCAGAATAAGCTTAAGTGAGACAATTTTTACTAATTGTTGACAATAAAGGTCTCATAATGGGCAATACATGTACCTTGCAAMAGGGCTGTATTATAAGCAAACCCACATAACCTTTCCTCAAGCTGTAATTTACTCATAGGGAACTGAAATCTAAGCAGAATACATTAAAACTTCATTAAAACAGACTGCTTGAGATCATACCGAGATAGTTCTAAGCCAGCACTTTCACAATCCAACTGCTCAGTGGCATTTTATCTGTCTACTACAAACAAATGTKAGGTCTAACACCAGCTAAGTGCATCCCGTAGCAATCTTGTTCTCATGAGTTTACTTTTGGTTCACTTCCAGCAGAAAGTAACTATGCCTCTGCACTAACAGAAATAATTCCTGTCTAAGAACAGCTCTGCARTAAGTCCATTCACATCAGGCTCACAAACAGAATCACAGGATACCAGAAGTAAGGTACAGAACCTATGGATATATCACTGCTGCAATAAAGCAAGGCCTTTCTCCCAACTTCTTGATTTCCCACACCAACTTGTAGAGGCCACTTCTCTGATGTGCTGCATTTACTACCATAAAAGCCTTATTAGTAGCTTTATTCCCTTCTTCTTTTACACAGCCTTATTAAAAGGAAACAAGTTATGGGATGACCTATGGAAGGCAAAAGCCATCAGGAATAGATAAGCAAAGCCTGCAATTGAATAGAAATGTCCTGCTGTTCAATTAAAAAATTAAAGTAAGTTGCACAGTTCTTTCCTAGGAAATTTAAACTCTTAATAAGATTATCTGTGATGAAAAAAAAAAAAACCCAACTGACAAACAACAAAACTCTCTGGCTCTCAGTGCAACTTAAACGATTCCCCCCCCCCCCCAGTCTGTAAGTCTACAGTTTCTGGATTCTCAAGATTTTACTCCATTTAATCACTGCTCACACTTTTCATCATAGAACCTAGATATCATTATGTATTTAGGACTAAGGGCCTCCATCTGTTTTATTCCATAATCTCTTTGCTTTCCCTTACTGAGTGTTTTTCAAACAAAACTCATTAAACAAAGTACTCCTTTATTCTCGGGTAGATGGAACTAAGAGAGAGAACAAACAGCAGTAATGCACTTGCTGTGGAGAACAGAAAAAAAACAACATTCCAAGAAATTTTGCTAATACATGCCAATGCAGTTTTATATGAGAAGGGATAGTTCCATTCAAGAGAAACTGCATTTTCCAGAACATCTACAGTGAAGAAAACATCTCAGATCTCACATCCAACAGTAAGTCCTACATACAAGAACGAAATTTAACTGCATTTTAAACTACAATTGTAGTGCTTATACTTGAATTTATCATGCTTTTAACTTGGTTCATCTCATTAAATGTAATGTATGGCTACCATTTGCAGTGTTTTGTGTTTATGCTTGTTTGTATATACTGACATTTTAAAAAGGAAGCAATGAAAAAGGCTGATTCAAGGTACTAATTAGCTGTTTCAAAATATGAATGAGAATATGAATGAGTTTTTTGAATGGGTTTTGAGCTATTCAGACCTGTCAGTTCCTTCTGTAAAAGGAAGTTAAGCCATCTTTCCCATGGGCCTTTACAGCAAATGATATGTATCTGCCAGAGCATCCCTTCCCAGCCTGAAACRGAAGGGATTTGAAAATAGGCAGGTCTTCGAAACAGGATTTTAACAATGAGTAGCTGTTAATATTCTCACCTTAACTTTAAGCATTTTTAATATATATATGCTGGACAGTGTTAGCACATCCTTGAACAATTATCTCAAATAAATACAATATAACAAGATTAGCATAKAAATATATAAATTATATATTATAAAAATATAGAGAATTATACTATATATTATTGTAAAGGATAACTGCTATATTTATGGAGGGTAGAGATATTTATTAGTTCAGAAATGCCACTAAAGACTCATAGAATATATTCTGATCGAAGCATTGTTTTCTTAGGCATAATGAACTGAAACAAGAGTACAATGCTACGGATAGTTTGTATTCCACTTATTTCAATCCTGTCCCTTACTATTATGGCTTTTCAAAAAAGTTCTGCTGCTGAAGACTGATTTTAATATCATTGTTCATATTTAGATAGAAAGTTTGGATCATGCTTTCTAAGACAGAGGTCTGCCCTTTATCTACAGTGATGAAARACAAAACGTGTCAATTATGCAGCCCCATGCAAAAAGCAAGTCAGGGTACCACTTTCTAATCCTCCCCTTGGAGGTTTCAAACCACTGTTCTGCATCTGCAATCCCAACAGTCCAGCTGATACAACAGCAACAGTTCTGTCTTCCCAGCTGCACAGTTATCATACTGCCTAAAATGTTCTCATCCATCACATGAAATTGGATTCTTTATAAAAAGAATAATGGGGAGCTTTTTAATGAATTTTTTTTAAGTGCCACTTCATGGCAAATTTGCAAATTATTTCAGACAGGTGACTTATTCAAAAAAGGCACTTCCACAAATGAGTTGTTTCATACCAGTATTAAAAAAATATTTTAGCTACAGAAGCAGATAATTTTCACCCTTTGGACTTGTTCAATACTGCTGCTCTAAGTCAAGGAACAGAAATAACTGAAACAAAAAAATTGTTAAGTTTAAGCAAAAATAAAAAAAATTAGAAAAGTCATGTGACTAATTGTGAAAATAGCGCAAAAACTAATTTCCATTTTATTCTACTACAAAACCAAGATACTTTGTAACAGTCATTAAAAAGAAAAACATATTACATTTAAAAAACAGAAATAAATTGTTACCTTTAACCATACTTTAAATAAGAGATTGTACTCRTTATAAAATAATCAACAGGAGCTGACTACAGCCATCAACACGCTTAAACAAAGTACTTGAAGWGTACAATATATTTTCTATTGCAGTGTTTTTCTACCACAACARCTTCTACTCTGCAAGTTTCTAGCATTCCATTTACAAAGTATATTTGTCCGGTAAGCCTGCAATCCATATGCTATTACCAAAACCAACTGCAGTAAAATAAGTTTTTGCTTGATGGCTTGCAATCATGGATGAAAGGGCAGCAGCTCCTTTTTACAAGCAATTCTAAAGCATCGTCCATTTGCCATCATTGCTGTTCAAGTACCTTGTTTACAGAAGCTCAGCTGCTGCAGGGTCATATTCAGATATTCATTCAGATAGCTCTAATTTTAAATGCAAGCTTTTTTTTTGTTTGCTGATTTCTTTTCCTTTCCCCCTTGCACTTCCCCCTTTCCTCCTCGGTACACAGACAGCCACAGCTTGGCTACGAAGCTCCCAGTTCCTCATTTGCACAGAGAAAAGGCASACAAAAGGTGACAGAAGATAACAACCATCATGGCATCAGCAAGCCTGCAGTTCTTTGCTTTTATTCTGGCGTTGTGTGGTGTTTTTGGAGATATCGCAGCCACCCTGCTACCAAACTGGAAGGTAAATGCAGACATTGGCACAAATATCATAACAGCTGTAACACAGATGCAAGGACTTTGGATGGACTGCACGTGGTACAGCACTGGGATGTTCAGCTGCACCCTGAAATACTCCATTCTCTCCCTCCCCGTCTACATCCAAGCTGCACGGACCACCATGGTACTGTCGTGTATCCTATCAGCCTTTGGGATCTGCATCACTACAGTCGGAATGAAATGCACAAAGTTGGGAGGGGACACTGACAGCAAAAATCATGCTTGTTTTGCTGGAGGAGTCTGCTTCATTCTTGCAGGAATCTTTGGATTAGTACCAACATCTTGGTACACGAGAGAAATTATTTCAAATTTTCTGGACCAGACCATTCCAGAGAGTAGTAAACATGAACCAGGAGGAGCAGTTTATACAGGATTCATCTCAGCAGGGTTTCTGCTCATCGCAGGTGTGATCTTCTGCTCTTCCTGTTTTAAAAGGCAGCAAGGAGCAYGGATTTACCCTCCAAAGCAGCACCATTTCCCATCCACAGAGCAGGAGAGCAATGCAGGTTACAACCTGAAGGACTATGTATAAATAATTACTTCTATTCACTGAAGTATTTCTATCCGTTCAAGGGKTTTTTTGTGTGTTAAGTGTAGCTTGGTTATTTAAAAGAATGTATAACATAGCATTCAACTTTTCCTATATTTGGGTTGCAGTTATGTTTATGCAAGGTATTTCATTTATAGGGACATCCACAAAAAGGAAAAAAGTATGAAAGAATAATTGTCTGCTAAAGAGTACTTTATTTTGTTGATTTTTCAAATCCTTCTTTCTGACTTCCCAAGTAAAACTTATTGAAGAAAATGGAACTATTTTAAAAACATAACTGAGTGTACAATTGACRTATCTATGTCTTGTTACAGCAAAGATTATTAAAAACTAACTGCCTTCTGTTTAGTGAATCAGGCTTTCAATAAAATGCAACATTTTATAGTGTATTTCACATTTTAATCTTGATTTTAATTAGGATGCAAGGTAAAAAACCCAAAAACTATTTGTCCAAGAAGACCAATTTAATGGTTTTTAAAAAGCAGACATATCTGCCTTTCATTTTCAATTCTAAATTGCCTTGGTAACTAGATTTTGTAAAAGAAAATAAATTTAAAAAATAGACAAAAAAAAAAATCAACCAACCAAAACAAATCCAGAACAAAAGCTCAAGGTTCCAACCCTTAGCTGTATACTCTGCATATCAGGCTGAAGGATCAGCAGTACCATTCAGCTTTTGTCAAACACGGCTCTCCTGCCCCAAACTGCCACCTGCTGTGGGTTTCATTTATTATTGTTAAAGAAAAGCCTGCTGGACATTCACCAATTGCTACTGATCTATCACTACACAATGAATGTTAGATACGAGAACCAATACAACAAGAAATGTAACTATAACTCTGAAAACACTTGCAAACTGTAACAAGCAGGATAGAAACGAAAATATCCATGTTCAAGAAACATCTGCAAACATTGTAACATACACTTGCTAAAAGTATCTATTAACAGCTCAAATAACACAGCTACCACTTACTGTCTTATTCCTGCAGGGTCTGTTTCAGACCCACTCCCAGGTATTCTATCCACTACAGTAAAATGTACTATACAACAGTGCTAAAGAAACAGCTCCTTTATTTTTTTAACTGTCTTATTCTGAATAATTGCTTTAAATCCTTTAAACTTTTCTTTTGCCACAGATTTTGTTTTGTATTGGTCATTAGGAAAGCATGTTCTACCTAAATATTTCCCTAAATGAGAATCAAATCGATGAATGAAATGGGATATGATACAGACCTTTAAATGTAGGAATATAATGCTAGGTGAGTCTTTCAATAAAATCAACTGCTCTTTACTCTGTATGTTTATACACAACTTCCATTTCCCATGGTACTAGTCTGAAATTTGCTACAACACCGTGAAGGGACTCAAAAATTACRTATTTAGTACATTGGAAAAAGATTTTCTATCATAACATTTGGGAAACTGTTTTATGCACTTGATATGTAAGTAATCTTTACTCACAGAGAGTCTTCATCACACACAGAATGGCACTACATTTTGGCTTTTAGTTGAGTTTCCTGTTTTAAACAAGGAGCTTGTTTTGTATTATTCCTAATGCAACTATCAGTAGTTATTGGATATGGCAGGGACTTCACTATGACCAAAAAGCCAATTTTATTTCCTAGACACAATGCTGTGCAGCACCACTCCATTAACCAAGAGTCTTTTATGTCTCAACATTCATAGTAATGTTGAAATAATCTTCATACTTCGAGCAAATTGAGGTAAAAAATCTCACAAACATGCATCTCCACCTTTAGAAAGGGGTTTGACATGACACAGCCATGACCATTGCCATTGTACATGAATTAAATCTGCTAGCAAAACTATAACCAAGATGAATTTTCACAGGAGGGCATAAGAAAGAGGTAATAATTGCATACCATGAGCAAAATGAAATGTTTATTGATTACATACGCTGAAAACTTTTCTTCCTGAAACTTTTTTATAAAGTACCTGAACTTTTTATAGGTATGAAACAAAAACCAAGCATGGAACCATTTCGTTCCCAATATGCTGCAAGAGCTTTCCAAGAACACAGGTTCTACGAGCGATGATACAGCTAAAATCAGTCTACAGCTAAAGGAGCAATGATAAAACAGAAGATCAACCTACTACAGGAGTTTGAAGGATACAAAATATAATGAAAACAGGTGCCAGCTCTGCCTGAAAAAAATGTATTTTCTGCTTTTGAAATTTAAGCAAYACTCATTTTAACTCAGATAACATTAAATAAAAATATGGCTGCTTTTTTAATTCAACAGAGCACCAGCTGACTGTAGGATATGCTTATACTAAGATATTTGTCACAATCGTGYTATCTCTCTCTTGGTCAACCTAAAGTATGGCCTTTTCAATATAGGAAAATGGAACTATCAGTTATAGTTTCCCAATGCTGGGACACAGTCTGAACTAGACATTTGACTACATTAGCACTACTAGTACTCAGATTGTACCCACCACCGAGAAATAACCACCATGAAACTGGAATTTTGGCCTTACTTAAAGCAGATTCACAAATTTGACAGTGAGATGTCACCCTGAGATTATTTTCYATTCAGCTAGGAGACAGGAAAAAAGCCCTAAGCCAAAGCCTCAAAGCAAAAAAATAAGATTTCTTAAGTATGGTCATTTTTTTCACAACAGACTGCTGTCATAACTAGTAATTTAACATGTTTGAACAGTTACTTGCTAAAAAAATACTAACAAAATTTTAAATTACCATCAAAATATGCCCTGATAGAGGCCTTAAAATTTATTGCGATAAATGAGAAAATAACTTTAAATAAAGGTTCTCAACAGGTATGCCAGAGAAGTAAAAAGGACCAAGAGAGAGACTCAGAGAGGGGAGGGGAAATGTATTGAAGAGCTGAACCAACCAGCTTAAGAAGGACTTTCAGAAGCTGCACGTTCATTTCTGAAACAGAACAGCAGTTTRAAAGGACAAAGGGTAATGGTTTTAAACTCCAAGAGGGTTGATTTAAATTAGATATAAGGAAGAAGTTTTTTACAATGAGGCTGGTAAAACATAAACATGCTGCCCAGAGAGATGGTGGATGCCCCATCCCTGGAAACATTAAAGATCAGATTGGACAGAGCTCTGGGCAACCTGATCTAGTTGAAAATGTTCCTGATCATTGCATGGGAWTGGGACTAGATGGCCTTTAAAGGTCCCTTCCAACCCAAATATTTCTAAAATCCTATGATTTCCAAATGCATTCAGGTACACACAACTCACAGTCAGGCACAATTTTGACAAAAAAATCCAAACCAAACCAAACCAAAAAAAAAGTTATTGTCCAAAATACCGATTAATTTCTTCATTTTTGATTTCTGTAATCATAATGGCTATTAATAAAAACCAGTGGTAGTACATAAGATGAATACTAAGAGATTGTTCTCTACTCACTCAAGAACAATTAAGAGGAATAAAAAATTGTTACTTTTTAAAACAGTCAGGTGGATATTGGTGACAAAATGCTATAGCAAATAGGAGGGAGTAAAATATGCTAAATATGATTGGGGTGAAACATCAAGATTATACATGTGGTAAAATTAGAGATGTTTGACAAAGATGACAAATGAAAAGCTTTTCTTATCACAGTCTTTCAAAAGATCCATCAAATTCTTTAGGCACAATTCCCAAACTGTTTATAAATACAAATTGTAAAATAGCAGGCTTTCCAAAAATATTCCAGTCCTAGCAGACTGTCCTGCCTAATTAAATCCTAATCTCCCTCTCCAGAACACCCAAAGAATTATGATGACCTTGCAGACAGGTTTGAAAGTCAAAGCCAAGTTCTGAGGAACTAAAAAAAGCACTTTCTTAGAGTACACATGCTTCATTTACAGAAATTTCATATCACTCCACTTYGTAATATGGAGATATTCAAACAGAGCAGCCACCAATGTTCATTAGTCAATATAAGATACATTCCTTGACTGACAAATGACAAAAGCCACAAAAAAAAAGTACAGGAAAACCTACCTCTGGCTTTGGAACAAAGGCTTGACCTGGAATTACAAAACAGTTTTCCACAGTGCAGAGATGCTGAGCCATGATGGATAGTCTGCTACGTTGGTTACTTCCTGGATTAGCTGTAAGTCTCTTTTGGAAAATCAAAACATGTACATCAGTGATGCTGAATTGACCAATTGATCAGTTACATTAAAGCTTGATTTTCAGTATCATCAAATTAAAAAACCACCACCAGTTAATCATTAAAAACTSTTATCAAACTGCATGCGCAGTTAATCTAGAATTCTTTTCTCCAATATAGCCACACTTCACTAAGAYACCATGCTGATTTACAAACTCAGTCCTGCAATCAAATGCACATGAAAAGGAACTCCTTGAACTTCTGCAGAACTAAATGAATGTCAAAATAATTTTGTATGGACACAAGAGAAAACTAAAACTATTCTGACTGCAGGATTCAAAACAAACATAACACCAGCTGACAGTACTCTCATAATCCTTTCCTTCTACTGTTTCTGTATAAAATATAACTAGTCTTTTTYTTCTTAAGATGAAACAAAGTTCCAGAAACTCAAGATTGGCTAGAAACCAAAATTTCTTCATAATTAACTGGTCTACACTTACAATATTTGCAAGGAAGCTGGGTCTACTTTACATAAATTTAGAACGGCTAACACTGAGAGCATTTAATACTTAAAACTCAATTTAGTCGTTGTCTGATTTTCACAAGAATTTTTTTACAAAATAATAGCCTGAACAGAGGTTTYCTACACTTTTGTGACCTGGCAAGAAATTGTGTTTTGCTTGCACAAATGAAATTTAAATATAAAAAAGCATCCTGTAACAAGTCTCAAATTATAGAAGTCATTACACTAACTGCAAAAACAGAATTTTGATGATTTCTGTTCTTATTTACCACCACCCCAATAAAAAAAAAAAAACCAAAACAACAAACTAAACCTCAATTTGCATATCTGGGAACATCTGTACATCATGTAGTTTCATATGAAAAGCCCATTCATTAAATGCTGTCATGCTTATGAAATCTATTCCAGAAAGATAAAAGCTAAG